GTTTGCAATGTTGCGGCAAGCATCAAAGTAGCTTTCCCGGGGGCATTACCATCAAGTGACTGAGATGAATCGGAATACAATGCTCACATTGTCAACTAATGCTCCATTCTAACAAGCAACTTAAAAAGTGGCGAAAGTCAGATGGATAAACCATTAATTGAGTGTGAGGGCTAATGAGAGAAAAAATCAGAATGCCATCAACATTGAAAGTTTCAAGTCCGGTAATAATATATGTCATGTCTATAGTCAATCAGTGCGATCTCTATGACCAAAACCAGAACAATATTAAAATTAATGCGAGTTTGCAGCAACATTCACGAGATGCGACGGTGATCAACTAGCCTAAACTGCTTCGCACACAGCACTTGTAAATTCTCGAAGGGCTAATCATGAAGCAGTTTTGAATGAGTCCATGAAAGTAAATCGACACATTGTGGATGATGACCAAAATGGGAAGTAAGCGAAATCGATGCGATATAGAGCGAAATGTTCATCTATCATCTCGTTCCAATAAACACTACCTCTTCATGACATTTTCCATTTGATATTGAGCTTAAGTCCATGTGAATGTTTTTTGTGCTGAATTTATGTTGTTATTTTTATGTGTTGTAAAGCGTGATTAGAAATGATTTCAGGTGACAACTGGAAGCATAACTTTTGTCAAGTCTTGAATTGAACGATCAGACAAAAATTATTTCATCTCACTAAGAGTTTTCGTAACTGTCATTAGTTGCAATCACTAGCTAATTGGTTGCATTCCGTTGTCGGTTTTCGTTATTCTAAGCGATGCTCAACGCGATGTGAGATTTCTCGTAAAACATCGAAATACTTTCTTCTTAATTCGCTCAACGCTCAGAGGATTCGGTAACCAACTGATCGAAGGTTGCAAAAGCGGCTGCTTATTCTTCGTTAGTCAAAAACAATACGTCACGAAATAAAATTGAAAGCCAAACTAATCATCTTGATTTGCTTTCGCTAACTTTGATTCTTTCCACATAATGGTTTGAATTGCTTAGACGCTTTTTAATTCAATTCAATTTTCGTCGTTATTTGTTCCTCATGAAACCGACTGGTCTGCTAGGCACTTCTAATGATTATGACAGATAAATCAGAAGAACGATGTGACATTTTTATCACTTTAGATCAGTGGTTCTCAAAGTTTTTGGTCACCGCATGTCCTAAAAAATTTTAAAGTGTCCTCACACCCCTCATAATATCCACTACAGTGAGTATCTGTAGCATAGTTAAGTGTTTACCATAAAAGTGCCTTCTAGCCTTTTCAAAAATATATACGTTAATGTCCACCCTCGCCTACTTTACACATATATATGGGTTGAAATCCGTCTTCGACTACTTTAATTTATAAAAGAATGAAAGCTTATTTCGCATCCCTGCAATACCCCTTGGCGGTGCGAGAAACCCTACTGTAGATGAATAATAAACTGAAAATCATTTTGCCACGACATGTTCTCCTGCAATCAACTAGCAATACTAGTGCATCATGAAGTTGTCTAAGATGCAACACTAATTATAAGATGCTTAAAAGACATCTTTCGATTTGCTGAAACGTTTCAAAAATTATGTCAGATTCAACCACTGAAGTCGTTTTGAACAGAGGTCAAAAAGTTGCTTTATGATAAATACCTGTTCGTTGATAATGGTTGTTCACTGGAGTCATCATTGATGCTAGGCGATGTTCATTTGGCGTGTGACCGTCAGATGAGAGCAACGAAGAAGAATGAATCAATGTGAAGAACCTAGAATACAAACTTACGCTCTGTCGTCATTATCACTCATTCCACGACAACAAATCGGCTTTCAATTTCAATTAGTTCTTCCGAATCATTCGTTAATATCCCTCCATCTACTCAGTTATATCTCCGCCCATTTCTCAACGAAACATCCAAAACGCATTCATCGCCACAGCCTAACAAAGCAACGAGCCCCTTCCTTGATAATACCGTACTAAAACCATTGAAACCCTGAACAAGTTCTCAGTCTGTCGAAAATTTAAATTTATCAGTAAAATGAGACCATGTGCATTGCAGAAAAAGAACAAACCCAGAAATTTCGATGGCACCAGGTGGAATCTATTTAAAATAAACTAATAAAGAATCAGATAGCACTAACTCAAAATTTATGCGAATGCTGAAAACTTTGCGATATTTTGATTGGAATAGTAATAGAATTCTTAGGAACAGCAAGATCAGAGGATATACTTCGTTGCATCTCACTTAATTTCATTTCAGATGCAAAAGTTTGAGGCAATATTTTTTTACTGTTCTAGTGTTTCGTGAAAGCGACTGCACGACTCCCGACAATGGGATTTTTATGATCGAAGGTTGAGATGCCGTGTGGTATAGTCGAAAACGTTTTACTATAACATCACATCAATTGCAATACGTGAATTCAGAATGAAGCACCATTCATTCGAGAGCAGAGTAAATAATAAAAATAAAAATAAAAAATAATAATAAAAATAATGATAATAATAATAGTTATTATTATTATTATCATTATAT